TTGATATGCCGTAATTTTTATAGTTGTAATTACCGTAAAATCATAGAATAACTCTAATTAAATAAATATTACAGTAAAAATTATGATATAATAATTTACTGTAAAAATAGATTTTACGGTAAAATGTATTTTACGGATGATGCCTCCACAGAGCAGGTACTTTATACCATAATTTGATACAGAATTTTTTACAGTGTAACAAATAGATTTTGCTTCTAAAAACATTAAAATAAAAAAAGAAGAGGTTTTTTTTCTTATGTTTGAACCTTTGAACGAGGCGTATTCCATGGTTATCTGAACTTCCATCGTTGCATCTAAGATGTTGACATAAGTGGATATGTATGTATATATACGCTGTGAAAATTGTTACATCTTTTTTTCTCATAATATTTAGATAATTTGCGTTAAACATGATTTTATCTAAATTATACACCGAAAATTCTTTTTCTCTAGTCCTCGTATGAATTTTTTTTATTCTGAAACAAAAAAGCAGTTTTCTAATGACCACCAATGTTTTTTTTTTTTTTCTAACTTAAATGACCACTAAGATTCACCAATGTTTTCTTCTTAATTAGAAGAATTTTGTTCTCATTTTCACTGATTTTATTTGAGAATTTTTAGTTTAAATTTTAGTGTAGTTATTTTTTGCATGTTACGCCATCTCGAGAACATTTTAAGCGAATTAAAAGAAATAGCACACAATTACAAAATTCGTTTATCCAAAGATAATTACATGCAAAAAAATTTAAGTATTTATTATTTTTTATCATTTTATTTATTAATAAGCGAAACATTTTGAATTGTAAGGTATACAGTTTTTGCAATTATTTAAAGAGAATCGAATCCTGAGAAATTGAAATTTAAACATACGACTTTTTTGTGCGTATAATTTAGCACATAGCTTTATTTTCTTGATTATTTTATTTTCACTTATTATTTCATTTTATTAAATGCATTTATTTAAAAAGGATGCTAAATCTTATATTTTTACTGTGTGAAAATACATCATGCATATAAAATTAACTAAGCGTAACACAAGAAGTAATCATACTTTAAGAGTTAATTTTAATGAACTAAACAAAAATATTGTTATAGTGTGTTCTCTATTTGAAACGTTTATGAAACTGAATTTTTACATATTTACCAGGTTTTTAAACAATCCATAAAAAAAGCTATTACTTTTATTGTTTTCAAGAATATTATATTTAGGAGAATCTTTGTTATAATTATTTTTCACTATTTTAATGAATCATTTTGAGAAGAAAAAAAACTTAAAAAGCTTTTGAAAGCACTCTAGTCATTTTGAATCAATTGTAAACAAACTAATAGCGGTAAAGGATCACCTTTTAAAAATCAAATTAAAATATCAATCTTAATATTTTAGCGAATACTATATTAACAAATAATGTCACCTTATGCAAAGTATGCAAAATGTGCTCTACTTGAACGTTTTTCTATACAAATAATTTAAATGACACTAAAATATCCTTTTTAATCGTAAATTTTTTTGAAGTCATATTACAACACTGTTTTAGAACAAATATCAAAATATTTTGAAGTTTGAAAGCGTTTATATGTGACTGCCCTGATTTTTACAAAAATGACACCTGATTAAAAACAACAATTCAACAAATATTCTTAAAACTAATTTAGTATAAAAATATATTAAAATTTAAAGTTTTGACAACTTACGCACTTTTTTTGTTAAATATGTTTTCTATGTGTGTCCTATTTTATAAAAGGATAACAGTTTAATTTGCAAAGAAAAAAATAATATTTTCTGCAAACAATTCCAATAACAATTCCATTTTTTAATCATTTTCAACTTTTATTTTTAAAACGATTCTATGAAATAGCACGTTTTGGAATTGTTTTCTGATTTTTTTTATTTTAAGCAATTATTTTAGAACAATTAACAAATTTAAAAATTATTTTATTTCTATTTTACAGGGTAGATGACGACATTTTTAAGCTAACAACTTGTACTACGAACAATAATTTGCGAATAGTGAAAAATTTTGAAAACTGAATAGATTAATAGAATAATAAAAAAAATTTAGTTCTTCTGTTCTTACTGTAAAATAAAAACTTATAAGAAAAATTTATAAAACATTCCAATTGTTCCCATCAACAAGTTCTAACCACGTTCATTCTTTTACTCAAAGCTCTATTTTAAAATTAACATTTCTTATTAAATATTCCTTACTATGTGAAATACTGCATAAGATTTTGGTTTCAAAATGGTAAATCAAGTGGGAAAACAAGAGATATTCCATAAAATAAGAACGCGTGAGTATAATAATCTATAATAACAGGATAATTAATCTAAATAATAATACGATTTGCTAACTAAATCTACACTAAAGGGTTTTACTAGACTCAAAGAAAAACATATCCATCTTTGAACTGTAATGTGAGTACCATATTACAATGTGAGAATTTGCTAACAATCTAAATATTAAATTGAATCACTTTTCCGTTAAAGTTGAGCCGTAATATCATATAATCAAGTTTAATCAGTGCGAGAATATTAAACAAGGTAACCTATAAAGGTTGAAGCCCAATTAAACGATATTGAAGTTCAACGAGAGTACTAATTTCGAATTCTGCATTTAATCAAAAAAACGTCGGTTATTTTTTAAATAATAATAATAATTTTTAATTTTCTAAGAGTCTTTGGCTTCTCGTCGCCCACCGCTGTCGCCATCGGCACAAGATTGAGTCAGGAGCCATATGTTGGGAATACTGGACATATTCGAACATTAACGCATAAGATCTCAAACCTTATTCCCGTTTATGTTTCATCCTTCAGAGTAGATTTTTACTTCAATTACTTTTACAGTGAAGGAAAAGAATGAATTTTTCTAAGAAATAGATAACTTTAATAAGATGTTACATTGAATCATATTTCTACTCAATCTGCCCCTTAGTATTATGTAATCAAATGTAAGAGGGATTATATTGCATAACAATATACACCGTAAAAATTACGGTAAAAAAAAAAAAAAAATCCGTTACTTTTAATTAACCTTAAAATATATTTTTACCGGAGATTTTGTTGTTACGGAACAAAAAATCTTATAAACCTTAATTCTTATTGTAATAATTACCGGAAAACCACTGAATTACTCTAATTAAATAAACATTACTGTAAAAATTACACTATAATAGTTTATGGTAAAAATGGATTTTACAGATGATGTACTCAAAATTCTGGTACCGTAGTTTGATCCGGTATTTTTTACCGTGTAGGCAGCTTATAAATGCTGTAGCACATTTGAACAATTTTATTGCATAATACGAACCCCAATTTCTAACAGTGAACGTGTTTAATTTTTTAAAAAAAATAGCCAATTTTGTAGAAAAAATAAAAATTTCTAAAAACTTTGACTTCTCTCCTCGAAGGAATATAAAAACCCAAGTTTGAGTTGGAAACCATATGATGGGAACCCTAAAAATAATGCGGAACATCTCAATCTTCATTCCTCATTTGTATGTCATCCCTAGATGATTATACCATACTTACTTCTACGGTGAAAAAAAAACAATTGATTTTCCTAGGAGATAGTTTTATCACCTATTTCGTTAATCGATGACAGCTGGGTGGATATTAATCTTTTATCGACGATCCCATCCTCGACTAGAATGATTTAAGAGGTCAGAACCTATACCTAATATCTGATAGAAGATAAAAAAGAACCGATTTTTCACATAGTGCATGGACACACCCGGATAAAAATTCTTTAGTGTGAACACCCTCTTATCTTAAATTCTCACTTAGCATTGTTTAAATTCTTTCAACAATGTCAGTTACACAATTTAAGTGAAACTTTAATTAGCATTTAGTTTTGCAATTTCAATTAGTTTTGCAATTTTAAATTAAGAATAAATTAACTCTTCACTGTTATTGTTAATTTTTAGTATTCTACTAAGTTCAATCTTAATATGGTACTAATAAACAAACAAAAGAAATATCAAATAGCTTTCTAATTTTTTTTATGAATTTGTAAAAATAAAAATTAATCTAAGTTATAAATGAATTAATATTTCCATGAACTGGAAAAATCAACTAAAGAATGTAAAAAAACATCAGGAAACTGCTTACGTGACATTTTTATCATTTAAAACCATTTCATTTAAAGACTTAGCAGAAAATTAGTGTTTCTTTTTGCTTACAAATGACCATAACATGTTCTAACAGATAAGAGGTTTTCAAAATATCACTTTACTTGTTATTTTGTTACGTTTTCCTAGTAATATGTATGTTAGATATCAATGTCATAGAACAAACAATTCAATTTGCTGCAGTTTGATAAATTAAGTGTAAATAATTAACATATACGTAAATAATTAACATTTCTACGTTCTTCAAATAATATTGTGAGATAGAAGTTAATGTTATGGAACAAACAATTCATTTCGTTATAGTCCACCAGATAAAGTGTAAATAATTGACATGTTTTTCTAAGTTCTCGAATTAATGTCATAGAACAAGGAACTCAATCCGTTATAACTCAACATATGGAATGTACATGGAACAAACAATTCATTCTGTTACAATCCAACGTATAAAGTGTACATAATTCACAGGTTCTACTAAGTTCTTCAAGAAATATTGGGTGACTGAAATTAAAGCTATAGAACAAGTAACTCAATCAGTTATAATCCAACATATGAAATATAAATAGTTCACATGTTCTGCTATGTATATCGATAAATATTTTGTGATAGTAATTTTTGCCCTAGAACAAACAATTCAATTCTGTACATATAAGAAGCTGTCAGATATATATGTCAGATGTATATTTTCTGAAACCAATAAACTAAGTAGAAACAAAGTTTACTTAATTCATAGGAATTCAATTAGCATTATTAACATATAACTTTGATTTCCTCAAAATCTTATTAATGAACTTGATTAAACTTAGCTCAGGACGTCTCATATTTAACATGTTATGTTTCTGATTACGATTAAATGTGTTTTTTTTTCCTTCTTTAAGATTGCTCAATGAAGATGACAAACGACCATTTGTAGAAGAGGCAGAAAGATTGAGAATTATTCACAAACGGGAACATCCTGATTACAAATACCAACCAAGAAGGAAGAAATCATCCAAATCTGGGAACGAAAAACCACAGCAGCCTGCTGGACAGGCAAACACTGCCATAGTGTTTAGGTAACTAAAAATATTTTAATCGTTGAAAAATTTAGCTGCATTTGCAAAATCTTTTCTTAAAGGGAACAGCACTATGAAATTTTCAAATTCTCTGGTAGTAAAATATTTCATTCTTCTTGGTAGGGTTCAAAATTACAATGTTACGGATATGAAAATTTGTAGCCGTAAGCTCAGAGTTGCGTCGGCTGTTTAACGATGGTTGTAAAATAAAAACCAATTCTCTGAGTTCCTAAAAATATATAAAAATTGAGAATAAGAGAATTATTCATAGAAATTTATGTTTTTCATCTGCCTGAAAAATTCTCGTTTAATTTTCGATTTTTAAAAAAAAGTTTAATGATATTTTTAATTGTTAACCTTTTTCTCCGTTTTAAAATCCAGATAATTCCTTACGGCAAGATAGTTCATGAAGTTTGAAATTATAGTTTTGCTTTGAATTTAAAGCACTTTATATGCTGCTCTTTTTTTCGATTGACGAAACAAATTGACGAAATTATCAAACCCATAGTCCTTAGTTAATACATCTCCGAAGACATATATATATATGTATTAAAAAAATATCTATTTTTTTTCTTTGAAAAATTTAGAACCTTGTGTGTTTAGTTTTTTTCCGAACTTACTACCGGTGACCGGTTAAAAATCCGATTTTTCACACATTCTTCAAAGAGAAAGTAAAGTAGTGCATAGCAAAAAAACTTCAGAACAAATTTGCATAGCTAAATGTAATAATTGATAGATTATTATTTTTATTTATGCATATAGTTAATTGCATTGTTGCATACTTTGATAGGTCATTAAAGTATAGTGATTCTTCTGATTCCAATTCTATGAAAATGGAAAATATCTCAGGAGCTCCATCAAGCCCACCAACCCCTCCCTGTAGTCCACCCCTGGAGGAACTGACTACGCTAAACAGGAGGCTGAAACTAGGTATGTATTTATGTTAAAAATTTTGTTTTCTTGTTTTTTAAAACTTCAAAGGGTAAAAAAAAAGAAGTAATCAATTTATATTATAAACGTGTCTATTCTAAGCAATTAAAAAATGCAGCTATGAATTACTCCCAAAAACAGGCTCTTAAAAATATTCTTACGCTACAGCACGAAAAAAAAAATCTTTTATTTTGTTCTAAAGTAATTTACGAATTTGGCATATAATATTATACAATTACAATTTGATTTTAATATAGGTACGTAGAGCCATAACTTTGATATTTGCTCAATAAATTTAGTATCTTACACATTCGGCAATGTAAACTTTATTTTGATTATTTTTACGCTACCGATATCACTGAAAACACGTGACGCAATATAAACATAAATTTTGAATTAATAATGAACTTTATAATTGGGTACTTACAGCTCGAGAAGAGAAGTATAATCATATTTAAATCAGATTTAATTGGATACCTGTAAGCGACGTCACGCGCGTGTGTGTCGAACCTGATTGGCTTCTGACTCGTATTCGAAATCACGGTAGTCAAAATTTCTCACAATCAAGCGATTTTCTCCTGTATTTATCCCTTGCGTAATTAAATAACCAATTGTTACAGAGCCGACAGCAGTACGATACTTATATTAGCATGCTTGGTACCAATTATAAAAAGAATCAGTTACTAGAATACCCGCAGTTTTAATTACCAAAATTAATTAAGCATCATTTTCTTCAATAAGAGTATGGCGCATTTTCCCCTAAGCTAATCGGTACATTTTCTTTCATTAACTTTGCTTTCTAGTACGTAATTTTTTTTAATTTCCATTAACGTTAATTTTAAATTAGTTAATTTTACAAAAACACGTTTTGAAATTACAGCAAAAAAACACGTGGTTTCGGAATACTTTAGGAATACTAATTTAGTGACGTAACCACGTTAATTATTTATCGTGTAAAAAATATTTAAACATTAAAGAACATGCAATAATCTAAACAGAGTTGTCTACAGTTTAAATAGCAATAACGGCTAATGCTTAAGTAATACGAATAATTGGGTATACTATAGCCTACGTCACAGATCGTGTTATTCCTACTAAATTTAACTAGTAACATTTTCTGCTAACCTGATTTCTAGTAACAAGTAAAAGCATCAAATGAAGTGTCTTGTTTATAAGTCGCTACTCGCCAGGTTGGAATTGTATTAGTCTAGTTCCTTTGGAAATAATTTATATTGTTGTTTTACCGAAGTTTATGAATTAAGTAAACATATTTAAAACTCAGTTTATTAATTAAACTAAAAGGTAAATGTTATTCCTAGTAAGTGGAAGTAGTTGTGCTTTTTTCATATTATACCCAATTCATTCTTCAAGATCTCCCTTGAACTGACAAATTGAAATTTTGAAACTATCTTTGAATCGGGGAGCACAAATGCTTCAAGCTGTTATAGGAAATTAAAGACAGCATTTCGAAACAGGGATAAACAAAAATACTGAATAAACGCAAATAAAAAGAAAAGTTGAATTAAAAAAAATAAACAAATAGTTAAACACGAATTTTTTATAATTCATTGACCTTAAGAAACAGATATTGAATTACAACTTTTAACTATCGTATAAGATAATATTTCGAAAACGAATATCCTATTTCAGCAAATAAGTGCAAAGGTATTAATTTGTATATTTTCCTCAGATGGGTGATAATTATTTAAAACTGTATCGGAAATACGATAACAGATTTATCTGATAGGCAACTCATCAAGTTAGATATTTTCCTAACAAGTCAACTTCCCCAACAAATATGCGACTATGAATATCGAATAGTTTAAGAGCTACAAACAGTCAAGAAGTTCACGATATAGCGAATATGATAAATTTCTAATTTGAATTTTTTTTTAACTCATTACATAAAATAAACCACAGGTGAAAGTAAACTTAATTTTTTCAAAATTAAAACTGTGCTTGAATTATCATTTCTTTGAAATTTAGGTAAAATATTCAAAGGGGTGCCCCTCTAATTTTGAAAGTTTTTTATGTTCTTGTAGAAAACAAGATAAATGACTTAAAATTGAGAAATCAGGGTTGAAATATTGGGTGATTTTAAATTCAGTTAAAACTCCAAATTACAGTGCACCCTATTCTACACTCTAAGTGAAATCATTCATTAGTGCCTAAGATATCATGTCTAATGTCAATGTCTAATTTCGTAATGTCTTTTTAGCGTTTAGTCTGCATACAATTCAACTCTTGCACATGCTTACGTTACATACTTATGTTGTATATTTACGCTTATATAACATTTTATATTTATAATTAATTACGTTTATTTTTAAGATATCGATATTCTTAATTAGCATTTTTTATTTACTTTTTCTTCCGCAATTCTTTTTTTTTTCTTAAATAATTTAGTAATAGTTAGTATACATTATATATAGCAAATAATTTAGTATATATAGCAACAACTGACAATAGAAGGGAAAAACTGTAAAGGTTATTTTAATATAATGCTAGAACATTTTAATTTATACATTTGCATCTTAAAGAATCTATCTTTTAGACATTAAGTTTTTAAGTATACCTATTTTTTCTAGATGGAAATGCTTTTGAACAACAACCGATAGATTTCAGCTACGTAGATGTTGGTCAGCTGACCAGAGAAGCCATGGACAATTTGGATGAATCTGAACTTGACCAATACCTCCCACCAGTCAACCTTAGACAATACACCGGACTAGTCCCACCTTTAATTGATGACTTTTTGGGCCCCTATCCTGTAAATACAGCATCATACGTTGGCGGTGGTAGCCTCATGGACGAACAGTGGACATGCTTCTAAGACTTTTTCATTACTCAAAATTTCGCCAAAAATCTATCATCCATACAGAACATATCAAAATATGTTTAGAACGTGAAATTCAGATATCACGAAGAAAACAATGAACAAAAATTATAACAATGAAATAAAAAAATAACTTATTTTTCAATAGCCAGATTTTATATAAATGTTTATTTTTTAAGGAAAAGAAGTTGCATTTTTAAAGCTGAGTCAAAGAAAACTAATAATATAGGCAGCTAAATATTAAAACAAAATTTTTAAAAAAAGTAATTATTTGTTAGATAATTTAGTTAATAAAAGCGGTTTTTACCAATTCAAGTTGGAGGATGTTATAGATTCAGGTTACATACACCGCAAAAGCAACATTTTTCTGTTTCTAAAACGCAACGTTTTACTTAATTCTCAGCATTCTGTCTATTGCAATGTCAGACTTTATAATGGTAAATGATAAGGTTAAATAAAATTTGATTTCTGTTTTAATATAGAATTAACTAAAACTGACTAAATTACTTTTCGATTACTTAAGTATCTTCAATTTTCGAGTTTTTCATTAAATTTTAAAATTTATGTTTTGAAGAAAAAATATATTTTACAAACAAACTTTATAGTAAATTCCATCAAATTTAGAACACAACATTCAGATAAATTTACAATTTCCTCGCTTCTAAGCTTATTATATTACTGCTATCATCGACTGTTGCAATTATCATTAAGAGTAGTAGTTTTGTAGATGACTTTACAAGACAGATCTATTTTCTATTTGCAATTTATATTCCACTTCCTTTTCTAATTTTAATCGGAATTCTCTGTCTTTCTTTTCTTGTTTTAATTTTAAATCTACTTTATTTAAATTTGGCGTAATCCTTTCGCCTAATAAGACTTATGAGGTTTGTCTTTTTTATTTTTTAAGAAACAAAAACAAATATCCAAAAACGATTATGCAACACTATATCAAAACGAAACTCAAAATAAGCGATATCAATTATTTTTCCATAAACCCCAACTTACAATAAAATATCTCATTATATTTCCCTAATTCATACTAAGTAAATTAGTATGTTTACTATCTTATTTTTTTTAACAGTCAAATAAACAATAATACTTTAATTATAGTAAATCGAAAATACATACAAACAAATTTAAATGAAATCGTAGATGTAATCGTAATGTATCTTTTAATTAGTTAAGTTTAAACTTTACCAATTACTATTTAATCATCCTATTAATAGAAAAGGGATCTGGTCAAATTAAACTTACTATGAGCAGGTTTTTAGTTATTTTCTTTTATTTAACATGCAACAGAATAATACACATACGTAACAACAGGACACTGTTGTATTTGTTGTAGTTCATTTACGTCGCACTAGAGCTGCACAATGGGCTATTGGCGACGTAACAACATAGCACAAAACGCAACTAACTTTTCTAATCTCTAACACAACACAATCAAATGTTTAAAATAGATCTGGCACGTAGCGCCATCTATAAAACTACCACTCTCCGTATGATAATTGCAACCCCCAAAAGATTGAAAATACACATGAAAATACAAGTACAATAATAGGTGCTGATTATTTAGGGCAGCAAAAATCTGATGCAAGATTTGATCATTTTATATGGTTAAATTGTTTCTCTTTTTTTTCAAACTTGCACCATTATTAGACGTGTTTTCTTTTTGTTATGTCTAAATGACAGTTCTGAATTAAACTCAATTTTCACCAGTAGAGATACTCGAGTTACTGCTATCTCTTAAGAGGACACTGTATACAACGGGAGAAACTTTTCGTGGAAAATTCTGTTCTCTATCAGTATTTTAAAATTTAAAGTTAAGAGAAAAGTGAGTTCAATGTAAATCTTAAGTAAACCACGAAATTTTAAATACTGGAAAATTATTTTGAAAGTATCAAAATGCAAACAAATTATTGCAGGATAACTTTCTCATTGTGTAAGTCAAGTTATCCTGCCATAATCTGTTAGTATCTAAGTTTAACCTGAACTTCTATACTTTAAATTACTTATGTATCCGGGAGCAGAAATCCTCCAGCACGGCAGCAGGTGCTTGAAGATTATCAGAGTACCCGAAGATAAATTTAAATCTCAGAATTTAAAAAAAAAATATCACAGCACTTGAAGATAATTTCTCATCTCAGATTCAAAAAAAAAAAACCTAGAAATTACAAAAAGGTATTATTTGTTTCAAGTCCTTTTACAAAACTTGTTTACCAATCTGCAGAGATACAAACAAACGAGATTTTTAAATTTTTCAAATCATTGACAGGAATTTCGAAACATAAAAAATTTAGTTGACAAGGAAAAAATTTAAAAATCAAATCTTAATTGGTGGAAACTTCAGTTGCTTGTTTTTAGACTGTATAGGAACTTAATCTACTTTTTAACTTTCATTTATTCCATTAATGTAAAAGCGTACAAACATTTTATTTAAAATAGGTTTTTCAACGACATTTTTTTGTGTACAACTTTTTTCTGCCTTATTTTGCTCTACACAGGCTTGATTAAGCCTAATGTTTACGATAATAGTCTCCAATTATGTTTTGGCATACAAATTTAAAATCATGAAGATTGCACTGCAGATTGGCTTGATAAATTCTGCTACTGGGCTTAAGAGATTAAAAAGAATTTGCCATGAAGCATCTCTCCAGTGGTTTAGCGTCCTCTTAATTTTTTCAGACGATTTTTTTTTTAAAAGAACTTTTTAGTTGATAAATAAAAATAATTAATCATAACTACTAATGGATAACTAATATCCGTTAAGATCTGCAAGCAACATGACATATGTAATGAATAGTCTGTGAATGATTTATGTCCCATGCTTAAAAGAATCTAGATTTTAAAGGTGGTGGGAAGAGAAAAAAAAAGAACTTAACGAGACAGTTTTTTCTTCTCACATTTGAATCATGGATTGAATCCTTGGTGTGTGCCAAACAATCTACGCAATTTTTTCCAGAGATTATCAAGTGGTGTCTTATATCACGTGACAATTCGAGACAGCTGTGCTGTGGGAATGTTTGTTACGATGTAGAAGAACACTGTTGCAGTGCGGTAGAATGAAAAGAGAGGTTATTTTGATATCTATTTTGTTTACACGTTTTTTTTATACCCTGTTTACAAAGTGTAGCAAATATTTTGTATATGTATTGTTTACAAAGTGTAGCAAATATTTTGTACATGCACTGTTTTATTGTCGTTTTGTTTCTTAAAGCCTGGAGCTATTTTGGAACAATAAAATTTGTATAAAATGAATTTCGTTTCTGTGTCGCTGATTTTAAAAATAACACTGGGCAACAGATTTTCAAATAGTTCCTGCTTCTCAGATGAATATATCAATCAATTCCTATTGAATTCAATGTGCTGAACACGGGGGGAAAAAACCCCAGATCAATTGGGGTTTTTTTCATAATGGTTACTTATTGTTGGGAGACGTGTATATATGTGCATATACACAGCAAAAAATTCTGGATCATATTATGGTTAAAAGTATTGGCAACCTGAGTGCAGCATTCATAAAATCTATTTTACCGTAAAATATTTTTTACCGTAAAATTTATACCTTAATTTTTCCAGTAATATTTAATTACAGTGATTCAATGTTTGTACAGTAAATATTACTGTAAAAATTAAGGTATATCAGTTTTTTTTTGTTCCATAAAATTTTACAATAAAGAGTACCGCCACTCGGGGGTCAGTACTTTTTACCGTAATTTGATCCGAAATTTTTTACACAGTATTCATTATTTAATACATCCTAGGAATACCTTTACCCGATTTGAACTTCCTACGCAAAATTTCAGAGTTCGTGCTTCCGAAATCAATCTAAACTATTCCTGTTCTAATTCAATATGTTAAACAAAAACAAAAAACCCACATAAATTAAGTTTTTTCTTCTTTTTTCATAATGCATTGTTTAGAAACGTGTATATTCTTAATGCGTATACTATAAAATATATTTTACGAATACGTTAATTTGTTTAGGACACATTCAAACTTCTGATTTTCCCCCCTTTACTTCAAATGGACAGGCGAGTATTTCTATGAACGTCTAACATCAGTTAACCCTTTGGTATAAATGAGATCAAAATTAACAAAAAAAAAATATGTTTTGGTATTTTTTAGGTATAAAAAACAGTTTAATAGTTACTAAAAAATCTGCTCGATTATCGGAATTATATTTGTACTTAGTTATATAATATCCGAAAAAAGTTTATCAATAATTGAGTTAGAATATAATTTTTAACACAATCGCGAAGGCAAGGAAACTCCTAGATCAACTATTGGGAGAAATATGCTTTCGTGGTGAAGGAAATATAATATACTTGCATTTGCATTACAAGGGGAGAAAAACCACGGAAACCTTCTACGGCTAGACTAACGGCAAGGAAACTCAAACCCATGATCCGTCTACTACTAATGATATTTTACGTCACCACTGTGGTTGGTGAAGGTTTAACTTAATACCGATTCACTTACTCAATTTATTTAACGTTTTTCATAGAATTTTTAATTATTTTCTCGCAATTTGCAACTAGGCACTTACGCAGCTTCATCAATTTAGGATTGTCATTGTAATAAATTTATTTCAAACTCGCAATTCTCTCTCTTCTTTCAGTGTGAAGTCAATATTAAATTTAATCCCCAAAAAAATATCATTTTAATATTTTGCATTTTATACTTAATAATTGGCTGTGAAACAATTATGTAATATTTTTTAAAAATAATGTTGAATTATTATATGTCCAAGGCTATCAGATTTCCCCTTTTCAACAGTTTTTATTATTTTTCTTGCTTTTACGATTAAGTTTGAAACAGTTACTAAATTTTGGTAAATTCAATTTTCACTCACTAAATTCTGATAAGTGTCGCTAGAGTAATTTTTGTACTTCAAGCTTAGTCTTTGCACACTTAGCTAAACTTAAGAGTTTTACAATCAATTTCTTATTATTATTTTAATATTATTATTATTTGCAGAAAAAAATCACCGATCTTCAAAAAATACCTTTTTTTGTCACTCTTACAGTGATACACTTTTTAACGATGTTTTTTTTGTGAACTTTTTACATAATTGTAAAACTTTTTCATAACTATTTGCGTTTCTAAACTAAATAGATACAAAACCTTCAACTAACAGCTAACATCCAACAGTATAATGGTAATATTTTCTCTTTCTACTTATACTAAAATTACTAATATACTAAATACTAAAATTACTGATAAAATTACTAAATACTAAAATTACTGATAACAATTATTTTGTCAATTTTTGCACAGTTTTCGACACAGCTGAAACTATAAAATATGCAGCGTAATATTTTTTGATGATACCTTTGATATACAACAACTTGATACCTTTTTTTACAAGATCATCGAAATTTATCTCAAAATTTCCTTTTCTCAATATACTTTTTACAGTATTTTGTAAACCCAGCGTGATGTAAGCACTTCCTTTACAGCATGTAGCAAACACCTCCGTCAAAATAAAGGAAAACAAATAGAATATCATTGCATTATATAATTTCAAATCGTTACAAATCGATTCATACACAAACCTGTTTGTTCATATTTTTTCACGATTTGTGTTTAAGGAAAATTTGATAAAATTGCAAAAATGGTGTAAGCAGGAGAAAACTCTGAATCCTTGTAACTACGATTTGAACTTTCAAAAGTTATGTAAAAATCATTTTACGAAATAAATACAAATTCCTTCAGATTGTACAATAAAAAGTAAATTTTATAATTACTAAATTGAATAAACGATGAAAATTAATGTCTTGGGTGCAATACTTAACATGGAGTTTAAAAAATCTCTTTTGTTAAATGTAAAAAATTTACTTAAGTAATTAATAAAATTTTATAATTACTAAATTAAATAAACACTGAAAATTAATGTCTTGGATGTAATACTTAACATGGAGTTTAAAAAATCTCTTTTTTTAAATGTAAAAAATTTACTTAAGTAATTAATAAAATTTTAATTAATAAAATTTAGTAAGCAAATTTTATTAATTAAAATTTACTTACTAAATTTTATAATTATTAAATTAAGTAAACAATGAAAATTAATGTCTTGGTTGTAATACTTAACATGGAGTTTAAAAAATCTCTTTTTTAAATGTGAAAAATTTTCTTAAGTAATTTATAAAATTTTAATTGATAAAATTTAGTAAGTAAATTTTAATAATTAAAATTTACTTACAAAATTTTATAATTACTAAATTAAATAAACACTGAAAATTATTGTCTTGGATGTAATACTTAACATGGAGTTTAAAAAATCTCTTTTTTTAAATGTAAAAAATTTACTTAGGTAATTAATAAAATTTTATAATTACTAAATTAAATAAACACTGTAAATTAATGTCTTGGATGTAATACTTAACATGGAGTTTAAAAAATCTCTTTTTTTAAATGTAAAAAATTTACTTAAGTAATTAATAAAATTTCAATTAATAAAATTTAGTAAGCAAATTTTATTATTTAAAATTTACTTACTAAATTTTATAATTATTAAATTAAGTAAACAATGAAAATTAATGTCTTGGTTGTAATACTGAACATGGAGTTTAAAAAATCTCTTTTTTAAATGTGAAAAATTTTCTTAAGTAATTTATAAAATTTTAATTGATAAAATTTAGTAAGTAAATTTTAATAATTAAAATTTACTTACTAAATTTTATAATTACTGAATTAAATAAACACTGAAAATTATTGTCTTGGATGTAATACTTAACATGGAGTTTAAAAAATCATTTTTTTTTAAATGTGTAAAACTTACTTAAAACCGTTAAAAGTTTATTTCCAACCGAATTCATTCATTTTTGAAAGTTGATGGGAATCTGTTGTGCAGACATCTGATGATTTGTGAAGACATTTGTTAATAACTTCAGAAAATGGGGGAAAAATTAGCAATGAATTTAAAGGTTGGCGTGGGGGGGGCAAGAAGTGTCACTGGAGGCTATTTTCTCTTGTGTATTATGCAATTTTTTATTTGATTATTTCTCATCGAATTAATTTGAGTTCATAATCACAGAATTTAAAAATATAAAATAAAATTTATAAAAAATTTATAAATTATTGCTTATAAGTACAGAAATACAAGTTTATAGTTGATTCTTTAGAGTAAGTAAAATTTTGAAAAATCTGCACCCTTTTTCTCAGTAAAAAATGCTCTTAAAAATCAAACTAATTTTAGGTAATAAGGTAAACGAATTTCTTTTCATAAATCAGTCTCAATTCGAAAATATTGTAATAAAACATTGCTAAAAAATTATAGTATAAAATATAAGGAGTTAAATAGACATGCTAATTAAGAGTTACCCAAAATTGACTTAATAGCTAAAAATTTTAGTTATACATATAGAAATAGATCCCATACCTGTTGGATATTTCTAACTTTAAATTTATCATAAAAAGAAAAAAATAATAATTATCCGTATTTGTATTATCCTTATCAATTCTTATGTATGGGATCTTTAATAAATCATAATCATCGTTGTATCCTTTATTAATTCGCACTTGCTGGGTTTTTTTTCAATCTGTATATGTAGCATCCTTTATCAATCTGTATTCGTAACCTCCTTTATTAATCCATATTCCAACCATCCTTTATTAATCCATATTTAAAGCAACCTTTATGTTCCATATTCGTGACAATCTTTGTCTACTGTTGCATTTCAGAAAAATTATCAACTTTTCTTTTTATTTTATAGAAACTATCTTCTTTTCTTAGCAACTCACGAGGATTATCTGCAATGAAAAAGCAAAGAGTATAATCATTCAAGCAAAATCATGATTGATTTTATAAGTTTATTCCTCAAATTTTTATTTTGTTATTACTTGCAGAATTTTTTTTTCAGAAACATTTATTTCTACAAAAAATTTTAAAACAATTTTAGTACATTTTATTATAAGCACAGAAAATTTTACAAATTAAAAAAACGAACATATTCTTCGTTAAAAAAAAGAATGGGTAAAAATCATTGTTTTACCGTGGATAGTTTTTTATAATAATGGTAAAATGACTTTTTATTATCAATTTTCAACACAGTTATTAATTAATTAATCTATAACATATACGGTACCTTATTATAAATTTTATTATCATTTTCATTTAATTCCTATATAATCAATATTGTTAATGATTGAAAATTAGAAACCGCTTTATGTATCGGAGGAAACACATTCGAACACTACTTTTTCAACCTACTATTAACGTTTGAAAAACCTGAAAATTAACTACCCGTTATTTG